GTTAATAACTCACATATTTGAGGGGAGGGGATTGTTGCTGAAATTTAGCCTGTTCTTTTCCCTCCAGGATACCACTCCTGCAAATATACTTTGCTCACAGAGTGAATCTTTCTAAAGATCATATTTAGAAAACAGAAATGTTTTGTTTGCTATATCACACTGTATTCATTCTCTGAGCTTAACAGAGAGGATCATTTTCTAAATTCAGATATTTTTTGATCTCTTAAAATTATTGTTCATCAAATACTGGCTTTTGGTGTTCCTCTCATAAAGGGGTAGACATTTTTTCCTTCCTCATAAGTTTATGTACTGATGCACTTTTAGTACTAGTACGGCCAGTGTGTCTGTATATGAAAGAGAGAAATAAAGTGAAATAAAACTTTTCTATTCAGTAATAGGGTTCATATTCTGCATCTCAAAAGTGAAAGTCATATATAATTACTCCAAGTATTTTTTGCTAAAGGTGGTTTAGGAGATCAACGCTCTCGTAATCCGGCTTCAGTCCTGAGCCAGCTTGTCAAACTGGCAAGCAATTTGTTTTTGTACGTTCCAAAGCAGAGTTGAGCAGAGCTGAAAATATCTGTGGCCAGCTGAGCCGTACAGGCCCCAGAAGACCACACATGCAGAATCCACAGAAGGTGGATTTATCCAAGGGAAAGGTCAGCATGCTGCAGTAGTCACAAACCAAACTAAAACTCGAATTGTGTGGAGGGGAGTTGGAAAGCTGTGTGGGAGCAGGAGAGGGAGCTTTTGCAAATGACATCTCCACCTCCTGTACTCTGTTTGTGCCAGTGCTCTGGAAAATTAATTCCCTATCCAGGGCTGGCATAAGCATTTTGTGCGTTGCCTACAAGACGTTCTCTGTTGCACCCAAAAGTTACCTACTTCTGTCCCAGCCTTTCCCTACCCCAAAAAATATGGCCAATCCTTGCTCACTCTGCTGGCACCTCACCCTGCATTCATGGGCATGAGCAGCACAATCTGTTTTTATACATGACTAGGGTAACAATGAAAACAAGGATGTCCCTCTTCTCAGGGTCTGATCCTGCCATCTTCACAGGAAATAGTATTATGTGCTGGCTTGTTTGTCTTTTAAACCACATCAGACTGGCCACATGAAAGTACGGCCAGACAACTAACTGGGGAAATTAACGTGAGGGCTGAGTGAGCACATATACACTGAAGGAGACAACCTGCACAGCACAATGGGGAAGGGTGTGTAAAGGTGGCCAGGTCCATGCCCCCTACACCAGCAGTGAGCAGGGGAGGTGGCACAAGGCCACTTTGTACCAGCAGTAGGGTTGGAAGCAGATACAAGTGCAAAATCTGCACTTAAGCATCTGCTTGCAATTGATGAGATTATAGACCATGCCCCTGGGTTATCACTGTATTCATGGTGGCTTGGGACACTAGCTGGGATAAGGCATCCGTGCTGCTGCTCTTCTGCACCACAAGTAAACACAATGCTCAGGCAGAGTATTGAGTGAAGGGGACAACAGAAGGGAAGAAGGGGGAACTTAGAGGACTGAAAGTAGATGTGATAGAGAGAATGATTGTGCACCGAGGACAGGCCTCCCAGCCTAGCACATGGCTGCCTCTATTCTCTCCCAACTTGAGCAAGACACAGAGAAAGGTCACAGAAAGGTCAGGCTTTGAAAGACAGAGACATGCCAAACAGAATAAACAAATAGCTTTTTGCTATGGATACAATGGTGACCGAGCTAGGGAGGGAGGAGGAAAAGGGGAGACCGTTTGAAGCAAGGGGAAAGTGAAGAAATCAAGGGGGGGATGAGGGAAAGGGTGGGGGAAAGATAAAGGAAAGCATAGGAAATATCAGAGGGAGGACTGGGCAGCCTTTTCTCTTACCTTCTCTAGCCCCTGCTCAAGTAACCAGAACCCTCCTATGCACATCTCACTGACCCTGCTAAGTAATAGTCTCCTCCCATAAAGTTTTTTCACCTTGAAAATCTGGTCACCCTCTAAATAAAGTGAGTCAGATCCTCAACTGATATTAATCTATTATGTGAATCTGTCCTAGTATTTCTGTTTAAAAATATAAGAATAGTATCTCAAACTATCCAGTTATAGCAAACATTTGCAGCCACTCAAACTCAGGCAGCTTGAAGTTTCAGAGGAAGTCTCCCAGTTCCTAACATTGTCAACTTTTTTGAGTGTCACTGTTTTCAGAGAACTATTCACAGTGACTCCAAGATTTCTTTCTTGAGTGGTAACAGCTAATTTAGACCCCATCATTTTGTATGTATAGTTAGGATTATTCTTTCCAATGTGCATTACTTTGTACTTATCACATTGAATTTCATCTGCCATTATGTTGCCTAATCACACAGTTTTGTGAGATCCCTTTTAACTCCTCACAGTCAGATTTTGACTTAAATCTCTTGAGTAGTTTTGTATCATTTACAAAGTTTGCCACCTCACTGTTTGCCATCTTTTCCAGATCATTTATTAATATGTTGAACCACACTGGTCTCAGTACAGATCCTTGAGAAACCACTCTATTTACCTCTCCACTGTGAAAACTGATCATTTATTCCTACCCTTTGTTTTCGGTCTTTTAACCAGTTACTGATCCATGAGAGGACCTTCCCTCTTATCCAATGACTGCTCTTTGGTGTGGGACCTTGTCAAAGGCTTTCTGAACGTCCAAGTACACTACTTCGACTGAGTCACCCTTGTCCACATGCTTACTGAGACGCTCAAAGGACTCTAATAGATTGGAGAGGCATGATTTCCCTTTACAAAAGCCGTGTTGACTCTTCCAATATATTATGTTTATCTGTATATTTGATAATTCTGTTCTTTACTATAGTTTCAGCCAATTTTCCTAGCAACAAACAGGTTTTCTGATTTGTTATTACCAGAATCACCTCAGAAGCCTTTTTAAAAATAGACATTATATTAGCTATCCTCCAGTCATCTGGCACAGAGACTGACTTAAGCAATAGGTTACATACCTCAGTTAGTAGTTCTGCAATTTCATATTTCAGTTCCTCCAGAACTCTGGAGTGAATACCATCTAGTCCTTGTGACTTATTACTGTTTAATTTATCAGTTTGTTCCAAAACCTCCTCTATTGACACCTCAATCTGGGATTGTTCCTCAGATTTGTCCCCTAAAAAGAATGGCTCAGGTGTGGGAATCTCCCTCACATCTTCTGCAGTGAAGACTGATACAAAAAATTCATGTATATTCTCCACAATGGCTTTGTCTTCCTTGAGTGCTCCTTTAACACTTCAATTGTTCAGTGGCCCCACTGATTGTTTGGCAGGTTTCCTGCTTCTGATGTACTGAAAGAAAGTTGTTGTTTAGTTTTTGTGACTTTAAATCAAATAAATCATTCCAGATTATGAGATCCAAACTGCAGATATGTAAAGATAATTTGGCCTGTTAGAACTATACAATTTTAATTACTCAAAATCTGCTTAATTTTTTAAGAGTTAAAAACACTTGGAAACGTCTGTCCTATACATTATTTTCCTATTTTGTGTACTTTAAAATGATTGAATGAACTTTTCCTATTTTAAAACAAAAAACATGGTGTGATATGTATATCAATTTTTATTTCTGAAGGAGTATTTTTCCAATCTATAATCTTTTAAAAAAAGGTTTTGTCATTGAAATGCTGAGTGAATTCAACTACATTGGATAAAACATCACAAAGTAAAAAGTTATTATGTATCAGCAATGTTCAACAGCTGTTTGTTCACTCATATTCTCATAATCAGTTTAGGTAGGAATTGCCAATGGAACACAATATTCACTGTGTGTCCAATTGCAAAACTGAAATTATGTGTGTAATTTTTGCACATACATGCACTGGCTTATGCCAAAAAAATATTAAAAATCCAAGACAGGTAACTAGAGAATCAGTTACTTGATTTATGGAAGCTGATTTCCATTTGGGTACATAAATGTATGTGTTCAGAAAAAAACTGGCAACCTGCATGTTGTATGAACCTTTTTCCATGTAAGTCTCAGGTCAAGCTACACTCAAAAGTTATGTTCACCCAGTATGTTGCTCAGGAATGTGAAAAATCCACATCCCCTGAGCAATATAGGGAAGCCAGCCTAACCTATAGTGTAGACAGCACTAGGTTGACAGAAGAATTCTTCCGTGGACCTAGTTACCTCCTCTCAGGAAAGTAGATTAACTATGCCAATGGGATAACCCCTCCCCTCACTGTAGGTAGTGTCTACACTGAACCACTACAGCAGCACCTATGTTGCATTTCAAGTGTTGACAACCCCTTAGGCTTAGCATGCGCGAGCAACTTTGAGACATTTTCTTTTGAAACACATTGACATTTCCCAGCATGAATAAAATAAAAGCTTTTATGTGTGCACACTTAACTCAACAGTAATTAAAGGACCAGTCCCATACTCATAGAAGTCAATAAAGTTTTGCTGCTAACATCAATGGAAGCAAGATTAAGTCTGTAATACATAAATGTAAGTAAAATTCCAAATGGAAAGATGCATATTGCTAAGCAGCCTCTACATGCTTTCTTCACCTTTTCCAAACTTGAAAATATTTTAAATTATGAATGGGTTTTCTTAGCTTTACGCCTGGTATTCCATACAAGTTTGTACTGAGGTGTCTATGCTACATAGCTAGTACATACAGTAGATCTTTTTCATACTGTACTAGAATTACCAAGCCCTATAAGCAACCTCTGAAAAGGTCCTTCTTGAGCAAATGATTATGTAGCTTATATTAAAATACACAGTGGGCCTGATTCACAGCAACATTCTTCCAGTTTTACATCAGAGTTACACTGACATTAAACTGGAATAACACTATCAGGAATCAGGCCCATTGTGTCTTTTAATACAATCAGAGAGATATATAGTATATCCCAGAAGAAGAATGTGTTTATTTTGTCTCTGTTATTAATAGGGGTCTTGTCTGTTCAGGCAATTAGCATTGAAGCAAACCAATAATAGTTGCAGTGATAATAAAATGTTTTTTATTGCCTGCGTATTTCGTAAGTTACATTCATTTTGAAAAAATAGTAAAGTGTCTTCAGATCTACTTTATATATAAGGAATGCGCTCATCAGCAAAGTTATACACAACCAAATGTAGAATAAACTTACTGCTATGACTTTAGCACATCAAACATTAAGGGGTAGCTTTTTTCCCCTTCTCCTTCTGTGTGCTTTGGCAACTTCGGATTCAAAAGTGTTCACCATTAAAAATAAAGGCAATATTACTGGCTTTAACTTAATGAAAACATTCAAAATGGAGGAGGACAAAAATAAGGCTCTATGAAAGATCCAATAATTTTAAATGCCTTTTTATTTATTTAAGTTGGTGAATTGTTAGAAAAGCATATATTTTTGTACAGATCCTACCCCCGACACAGTTTGAACATACTGAATACAGTTCCTTTCTATGGTCTTTTGTATTTATTTATTAAGTTGTCTGCAAATGTATCCATTGCATCATGCAATTTTACCTGAAGTGTTACCATAGTTAAAATAAGCCAGTTAATCAGTAATTTGGTGCTGTCTTCTGGTGTGCATTCCTCTTTTTCAAATGCATTTATTGAAGTAAAGGATTTACATCATATGAAATCACAGGGTTTTCATGAGTTAGACTAGCATACATATGTACAGCTTTAGGTAGAGATCGCTAAAGTAATATTTACAGTGTAAACATCAACTTTTATTATATCAGAAACAAATATATCACAACTGTCACTTCACAACATATTTGTTTTGGTTTGAATACTGAAGTCATTTCTTTGAAATACTATGTGGAACTCAAAAAATAGTTTTGTTCTTGTCATAGATTTTCCCAGCTCTCCTTCAGAGACTCTGAAAAACAAGAAGAATGTGTGTTTCAAAATCAATGTTACAAGTGACTGCAATATCAGATAACTTTATCTAAAGTGTATACAACCTACCCAAATCCTTCAAACACCAACTACTGGGTGTAAGTGTCCCTACTGGAAGTAGCAACTTTGATATCTATGGAACTCCTATTCATGGCAATAAGCACTCTGCCTGGTAGGAAGTGTTTGTAGAATCAAGCCCAACTAACAAGAATGTTGTTGAATAGCATCATACTAGGCAAGAGGGATGATACTGAAAGCAGTTGTATCCTTGGAGTGAATAAGTGCAGATTACCAAGCTGACATGGCACCAATGGATACTGATAGAATAATGGACAACACTGACCAGATTCTCCCTCTTCAGGGAAATCTGTAGCATGGTTACAGTCCCCTAATCTGGGAGGGAGGAAGGAAGGAACAAATTTAAGAATTGCCAGGATCAGATCAATGGTCTAGTCCAATATCCTGTCTCTGACTGTGGCCAGCACCAGAAACTATAGAAGAAGGTGTAAGAAAACTTGCAGGAGGAAATGATGAATAACCTTCCCACAAGGAACATTTCTTCCTAAACCCATCATTTAGAAGTTGTTTTATACCCTGAAGTGTGATCTTTTGGATTTTTGCTTATGTTTGGAAAAATGCATTTTCTTCTATTATCTGAAGGAAATGAAAAACTGAAGAAAAACATTTTCTTACTCGTATAAGGCTAGAGCGTCCATCAAATGCTAGGATGGGTTAAATAATTACTTTTTGTTTATTTGTAGTCCATTTTTTGCCCAACTGCATCAACAGCACCACTGATACGAAAAATCCTCTAACAGAGCTTAATATATTTTCAAGAATATCAGGCCTGATTCACCACTGTTATCACTCCAATGTAAGGTCCGTGTAATACATTGAAATCTATGAAGTAGAGTAACACAGTTGTGAATGAGGTGCTTTGTCTCCAAAGATTCTGACACAGCTAAATAGGAAGTAGTAACACAGATATTAAGTAGTAACTCAGATATTAAGCATATCAGAACAGAGGAAAAAAGGATCTTCCCCACTTGATACACAGTTTCAGATAGGAATCAGCTGTCACATAGGTTGAGGGTGGTAGTGCACATGATTCTCATTCTACAGTTTTAGGGGGAGCTTGGATTTCAATTAGAAAGAATGATGTAAGGCAGAAAGTGGGGATGGAACTTTATTTTTTAATTAAAGAAAACCAGTGAATTTATTCTCAGAAGCTAGAATATTCTTCCTAATTAAAAATAAGTCAATTATGCTTTTTTTCCTCAGTGCATGTGGTTTGAAACACCCAAGTGAGCTAGGTGCATTACCAACAGTGTCAGACTGTTCATTTAATTAGGAAGTTAGAGTGAAAGTAATCATGGGGATCATTTAATTAATCTTATTAAAGAGGTCATTACACTGAGACACATTCCCTGTAGACATATAAAATATATAATGGAACGTGGCTCATGCCAGAGGGATGCACTTTACAGAGAGGCCATCTTTTGTGTAGGATTACTATCTTAAGGGTGGGGTGACTACTGCTGAACTGGAAGGGTAAAAGTAAATTTGGACCTACCAATGGGAGGCGGTTCAGCAGCTCATCTACTGTAACATCATCATAGGTTTCGGAAAAGGAGGGTTCAAGCAATTCTGCTTCATCTCGAAGGCTGGCAGGGTTTAGCTCTTCTTGGCTGTTGCAGATGAGAAACATGGATTTTGTTGCACTCAGAAAAATAAGACAGAACTAATCATAGTAACTTTCTGTTTCATTAAACTTTATTAAACAATTTTTTAATTCAGTGAAGTAGCATGTCTAGCACTTCCTTAGATAACAGCAAATTTCAAACATTGTGCATTTTCATTGTAAAATTGTTACCTGATAGCAAGTCCTGTGCATAAGCCCTAGCTCTTTAGTTCTTCCTTTACTAGGATGTTTGTTCTAAATAAAAGCACTTTAAGAATATTTCAATAGCATTTTCCTTTATTTTAAGACTCCCAAATTCTCTGTGTTATTCTTGTTCTTTCATTCTAATTTGACTGTGAAGTGTGCTGTAAATAAATCACTAGGAGAAAATGTTACTAATACTTGTCTATATATTAAGATTACATTCCAAAATCATTAATGTTCATTGTATTTTATTTTATTAATACCTTCTTTTTCCAGTTAAAACTGAGTTTAAATATTTCTTCACGGCCATTTGCTTTCGAAATCGGCTGTAGTTGTCAGTGAAGACGGCATCAGAGTGACGTTTGACGGGCATCTGTTCGTCCATGAGGTTGTTGCTATGTAAACACAAAAAACAGTGGAAATTATCACAAATACATTCAACTAGAAAAGATAAAGACTTTGAACTATATGCAGTAAGTCTTTCAATTGCTGATTAGCTGAGTAAAACATTCATTTCCATTCCAATTTTCTTTTACTACTTCAAAAGTCACTCTGATCATATGGGTAATATCCTGAATTTTTTATTCAGTCTTCACTTAAGCAAATCTGTTGACTTCCTCCCATCTCAGTGTAATTAGAATTCACATTGATGTCTCTGGAAGTTTTGTATGAGCAAGTGTTGAGCACAGACTTTTTAGGATTTGGCCCATTCTGTTTTCTAATAATTAAAATCACAAACCCTTACGTGCCAATTCTTGTAACTTAAGAAACCCTTTTAAACAAACTGAAATCATCCTGATTTACACTAGAAATATATTTTAGTAAATTATCAAATTATATAGGCTGTCCGAAATATAAGGAACCTCTTAAAGGGCCTAGTCTTGTTCCCATTAAAGTCAGGGGTAATTTTGCTTATGACTTCAACTGGAGCAGGCTCCAAGTATTACAGTATGTTTATATATAGCTTTAAAATGTTTGCTTTGGGCAGTAGTGTAGTCAAGAGTAAACATAGGTATATGGAGTTTACCCACTTCTCATTTGAGGAATAAGGAGTTTAGGTTAGTTTACCCACTTCTTTTTTTTTTCTTTTTTAACCACTGGCTTTAAGTAAATTTCAGAGGAAAAATAGCACTTTGGGAAAGCCAAAGTTGAAGTCAGAAGTTTCCTGCCTCACAGTTTAGAGGCAGATCTTCACATGGTGTAATCTGCCATAACTCTACTGAAGGAACTACACAGTTTTACACCAGCTGAGAATCCAGTCCTTTGTATTTAGGGACAAAGTAGCCTGGGTAGAAATAAGTGCAAATTCAGTGCCCAATTTCTAATCACCTTCTGGGCATGTAAAATGGGCATTTATGCACCTAAGTGTAAGTTTGAATGTCAAAGTGTAGGATTTGCATGGCCTGCAAAGGGAAAAATATTAAAAAATTAGCCCAATAGTTGTCATATTACTGACAGCATTTATCATTAGTCTGAACAGCATACAGTCTGATTTTTTCAGAAGTGTGTTTAGTGTGTGATGTGACTCCTCTCAGGTGTCACAATATAATTCAAAAAGTCACTTTTGACAAAAAATACAATACATATAATACAAATAAATAATACTGTATTAATGTTAATGAATTATATTTAATTACTTAGCTCTTATATCTGAAGATCTCAAAAAACTTTTTAAAAGATAGTAAATATCATTGCCCCAATTTACAGATGGGGAAACTTGTGCACGAAATGGTAAGTGAAGCAAGCAGAATAAAAGCTCTATTTAAGTGTAACCTCACCTAACCCGTTTTCCAATAAGTGATTCCAGATATCTCCTTGCAGAAAGTTGACCCAAAAGTTTGCTGTAGCCACTGGTGAAAAGTCCATCAGCATGTCTTGCATTCCTAATATAGATGAAAAAATAACTCCACAATAAAATCTGGGCTCCCTATATTACAAGTAAATACAGTTTTTATTTTCAATTTCATAAGCACTTCTTTTGAAAATCATCATTGCTTTGATTTATTAAATAAAACAATTTTTTTAAATTTCCAAATGATTTATTACTACTTTCCAGCCCTTTCAGTGCTATAATGACAATGAACTCCAGAAAACTTTGCAAACAAACATACATTCTATGCTCCCTTTTAATACTCAATTTTTCCTTTCAAATGTCTTAAGCAGTTTGAAAAGTTCATTTAAATAAATGCAGGAAAAGCACTTTCTACCTTGGTATCATTTGAGCAATGCATCAAAATTTATATTTATGGCAACAAAAATTCTCACCTATCCATAGCTCTGGACATGTCAAGATAGAATTTGTCATTTTCTGGCAGTGCATTTTGCAAAATGTCAGTTTCAGGTTTTAATGAACCTTGGGCTTGATCAGGTTCACTTGCTCCATCAAATGGCATTCTGTTTCCCAACCTACTGAAGAAGAAAATCTCGTAAAGTATTGCAAAATGAGGATATTTAATACTGTCTCTTTCAATGCAATTTGCATGCAGTCTCATATGTGTCAAACAATATACATGTATCTAATGCCCAAGACATTTTAAAGCAAACTGGATAAAGCACAAGAAAATACTCTGCAAGTAATAATCCTTCATTGGCAAGATGATAGAGTACCTGGTGTAATAGATTTTCTCCATCTTTAACCATATATTTATATGAATCTACATATTGGGTCAGCATTCACATTTTCATAATTTTATCATTACAAATAATTGACTTAAGGGAATACCATGCAATCCATGGTCATTATAATTACTTGCAAATGGCAATTGTAAAAATTTTAATGGCAACCATTGCAATATACAGGAATAGGTATAGGATATAAACTACAGATTAAATTCACTTCTGTGTAAAGGGCCAGAAGATCTATGTGCTATTTAAGTTCCAGTCAAGACCTTAAAATGGTGCCTAAGTGGAACTAAATGGTTCTTGGGCCTTTGTTCAGGTTCTCTGAAGAGGGATGAATTTTACCATATAAGATATAAACATATAGCTATATACTGATTTTTATTGTCTTTTAAGACTGATTTGCTAGTAATTCATCAGAATATCTCACTGCTAATAATTAATGTATTTTTCATCATAACCATAATTCTGTTAAAGTAGTGTTAATATCCCAAACATTGACCAATCAACAAATAAACTAACAAAAAGTTTATGTTGCCCACTCCCACAGTTTGATGCATGATCTCATGTATTATTAAGGATAGCATGACGATGTTGCAATGGTATGGCAGCAGACATTCCTTCTGGTCACTCTTGTATTCTATGGAAAATGATAGCTTCCTGTCAGAGTGGTAGATGCAGCATGTGATGATGTAGCAAATCACACACTGAGGTCGGGAAGAGATTTCATGCTAACATTGTAGGCATACACCCCTGTGGACAAATTATACCTATTGGAGTAAGACATGCAGGATTTAGCTCTTATGAGTATTCCTTCAGCTACAGATATTTTATGAACCAAGTACAATTACTGTTGTGTGAAATAAACCAACCCAAGTGGAAAATTTTAAAATTACATAACTATAGTTACATTCATTTGTTCTTTTCAGCATATACATTTGTTTCAATTTAATACTGAAAAAGACATTGTAACATTTGACTCTACCTTATCTAAACAACAACCCAACAAAAATTCAAAATATCAAACTTCAATGTGTTCTTTATGCCAAAGCTATGCATAGATGTAGGCAAGTCACTTTCTCACAATCTACTGTAATACAGTCTGCAGCCATAATTTGAGGCACATTGAATCTGTTTCTACTCTTAAGCATGCTATATATTTGAAAAGAATTACAGGATACCAGTCCAGCTATAATGCTAGGGGTGAAGTGAAATGTAGGTTTTGCCATAAGAAGAGCTGATACTTCTACTGATACTTCTACTTCTACTTACTATTTGTGATAGGCCAATGCAACCCCAGAAACACAATTCAGCATGTTTACTTTACTATTTGTCATATTCTTCATGTAAATAGTAATAATTACTAAAGGGCTATTAGAGTGGAAATGGTACTTAGACCCTTTAAAATAAGAAGTCATTTAATTGCTATCCACCAGTGGTGTTGGCACTGGCTGAATGAAAGGATCACGTCACTTCCTGGTGTTCTTGGGGAGCAGATGGAGAAGGGATCGCCACTTCTTAAAACGCTTTTAACGGTTTAAGTTATTTACAGAGAGGGGAGGTAGACCAGCCCATACCATCCATGCTACTGCCAAAAGGGGAGATCTTAACTGACGCTATTGCAAAGATTACCAGCGTAACCAATCATTATTAGTCCCTTCCTGTAATGTTGATGTGAGAATGTAATAGATGAGCCTTTCAGCTAAGTTTGCTAAAGAGGCATGTATTCAAGCCTTGGATTGGAGTTTCCAAGATAACAAGTACACTAGGACGCTGCTGATGCTAACTTAAGTAGACCGTTTGCTGCAATATCGCCTTTCGCAGATCGTGTTGTGTCATTAGCGAGCAGCCGGGTGCTTTAGCTCGAGGTCTCATGAGTCGGAACAGCACTTACCTCATAGCTGAATATGTCCCCAAAGGAGGTAATGCCAGTGCTGGCGAGCAGAGAACACTGAAGAGTGTGAAGGACAGAAGAAGCTGGGAGCTGCTTCTATGTTCCATCATGCTGGACCTGAGTTAATGAATAGGAGACAATAATTACCTCCTATCGGCACGGGTTTCCGACTGCATAGACAGAGGGCCATTTCTAAGATGCTTTTGTCGCTGTCTGAAGGAAAGGGGGCGGAAGGTTTTGGATCCCACGTGGAAAAGTAAGGATCCCTGCTGCGGGCTACACCTCATCCCTCAAATATGGCATGCCCGGGTACTGCTGTTTAAAATTTGCTGCGAGCTGTATCTTTTGCTTTTGCTTTAGAAGTCGGGGGGCACTCGCTCGGTAATACAGATCTGGTTGACAATAAACTATTTTTTCTAAATCACCTGGAAGGAAACTATTGCTTCTGCTTTGTAATTCCTAGTATCTGATGAAGGCCGAAGGCAGGGAGAGGGTGAAAGGGAGAAGTTCTATCCAAAACGTAAACCTCCTTGAAACTCAGACATTAGTGAAAAATAAACCCGTTTGAATTTGAAGAATGAAGAAATAATGTGAATTAACATTGTGCATCCTCTACGTTGTGCTCCGCTGGGGAAGCCACGTACACTTACTTCTCTTCAGTAGTTGAATAACTTAAATCTGATTAAATAAAGAATGATGGTTCTCATGCTGCACTGTACAATACTGCCGTAGAAAGCGGAACTGCACCTTGTTTCAAGCAACCAAAAGGCAGGAGCAGCAGTGAGGAATTTGAGTTGAACATTCTAAACATGAATGTTCATGTTCACTCAAAACCAGCCTGCATCCCTTTGAGCTCGAAACAGAGACTTTAAGTGGAAACTTTTTGTAGAGTACCAATACCTCTTCTAGTTCCCCCCCACACACACCCCAGGCAGGAAAGAAAAGTGCAGGTAAAGCGAGAAAAGAAAGATCGGCTTGATTTGGTTAATTCAGTGAATTTAAATTGAGGATGTAAAATAATAAAAGCGCTAAGAGGAAGCACAAGTAATAACTATCCATAAGGGAGAAATCGGCACTCAAGGAGGGGCAGCTAACATGCAGCAGTAAGGAGAAGTAAAAGGGAAGGCGCTCCCTCACCGAGCAAAGCAAAGACACCCTAAATTGGTTAATCTGAGCTAAAATCCATAGGAATTGATCAAGGATTAAGAAGGAGAAGGTAGCGTCAGAGAAGGCAGGACTGTTCTATACATTCCCATTTGCTGGTTGGTCAGCAACTTTTTAGCGTTAAGACTGTTTGCATTGCTCTTATAATCGGGGGGTCCTTTCTTCTCTCTACTCGCTAGGAAGTTCCAGTGGGTGTATTGAGACCAGGGCTAGCTGGCGGTACTCACGAGGCAGGGAGAGGGTCCTTTCTCCTGGGAAGTCCGCCCGGCGCTGGGAGTTCTCCTAGGTGCTGAATTCCTCGGCTGCTCGATCCGCACTCTGTCCCGGGTACTGAAGGGGAATGTGTAGGGGCTGGGTCCGTGTGGCCGGGGCTGCTGTTTCGGTGGTGTTCCCCAGCCCTCCTCCTTAGGCTGATGCCGTCTCTCCCCTTCAGTAGCACTCTGCCCAGCCCTCCAAACCGCCTCGTTTTATAGGGTTTATACATAGGACCACGTTTCTGCTTCAGAAAAAGCAATCACGTTACTTGGGAGACGTCACTATTCCCAAGGGGATGAATGGAAGTCCGTGATCGCTTTGTTCAGGATGCTCTGAGCCGGGGAAGAAGTTCATATTTAATTCATGAGCAGCCTGCGTACCCTATTTTTTATTGATTTATATTAATGAATGGCTTATCCAGTGAGTAAGACTTGGCTGACAACATAATTCAGCTTAAAACAACAGATGATAGTTGGGCAGGTCCTGCCACTCAGTGTGCTGCAACAGGGAGCCCCGTTGTATGTTTAGCCTGTGTATGATTAACCGGGAACTGTTAGCAGCCTGGTTCTCCTTCTGTACATTAAAGACAACGAGGGATGGGGGGGGGAGAGAAAACATGTGGGCAGCAGCTGAACGTATGGCCAAGCATGAGTTCTGAGCAGAGCTTCTGTCTAGAACAGTCGCAACGACCTTAGCAGCCTCACATCCACTCCCAGGAAAGTTTTGGTGTCTTGTAAACTGTTAAGTGTCCCGCTGAGGTTGTGTCGAAGGAGAAGTTTGTTAAAGCTCTTTTTCGCTATCACAGCACACAGCATTCGGGGGGGCTGCTTCCACTCTTTGATATAGATATAGATATAGAAAAATCTTTGTTTTTTGGGTGTGTGTTACAATTCTCTAGTCACGGTTTACTTATGAAGTATAAGGATTCTGCCAAGCTCCGCTTTCCGAGAGCTCCCGCTCTCTGCAGATAGCTGCTCAGTAAGAGTGTTAGCTGCCGTCCTCGGGGAACAGCGATGAAATATCACCATACTTGACACAGTTAGAAAGCTTTATACCGCGAGAGAGCTTTCCCGTGTAACCTTTAAAGCAGAGATTTGGGGCAGTATAGTTGGATTAGAAGGGGTGTCGTTTTTTAACTCTCTATTTGCCGACAGATATGATTTTTATGAATTAAGTTACTATTCTTTGTTTTCTCGTTTAAAGCGTATTTGCTCACTCAGATTATTCGGGGGAAATAAAGCAGTAGTAGGTGCTTGGGAACTAAACCAAAGACTGGAAGACACTGGGCTTCCAGAATAGAGAATAGGTGAAGCCCTGACATTGGGCAGTTGAACGGCAGGGGGACCTGCGCTTGCAAGGAGAGCCCACTCTTGTTCCGAATTTGAATCATGCCCCGAGCACCAGAGGTGGAATCAGTACCACGGCATGTGGCGAGTCCTTTAGTTTTAATACAGCCCCCAATTTTTGCCTGAGAAGTTGTTTTGCGGGGAAGCAGATTGGAAGGCACGTGGTAGTTAGACACGGTATCCTGCCTAGCGCTAGTCTGATTTCTACAGCCTAGGAAGTTTTCGCACGTTCCTCTTTTGTTTGCCGAATTTACTTTTTGTATCTAAAACTCATACACCAAAAGAGCCCCGTCAAGTAATCATTCCAGTGAAGGGTCATTATCCAGTTCTGCTTTAGCTTTCTTGCCTATGTGATGTACACCTAGTCCTCCTAACCGAAGATACCCGATGTACAAAACCAGTGCAGACGATTTCACCATTTCCTCTGACTTATAATAAGTTTTTTCCGTGCTTCTGTGTTTCATGTATTCGTAAGGTTAGACAGGCTCGACGGTGAATATTCTGCGAGCCTTAATCGCATTCTCTAATTCGGTTACATAACAATTAAGTGAATTAAACTAAAAAATGCCTGGAAATTTGTTTCTCGGATGTCAGCTGTGACTCAAACCAGAGTTCCTGCAATGGCCTAATTCCAGGAAATTTTCCCTTGTTACTACATAACTGGAGGTCGAAGAAGCAGTTCTGTTCTGGAATGGCATGATGAGCATTAATAGCTCTTCTTCACCTAACTCCTCGTGAAGTTTTTCCTCTTAAATGCTCGACTTGGAGTTTACAAGGTGTCGCACTGTAGGCTAGTGATGATAAACAGAGGCTTAAATAAAGTGCTTCGAACGATTGGTAAATGGCATTTTTGTAAGTTCGGGTAGCGGAAGGGGTCTGTAGACGAACACAGGGTAAAAGTTTAAGGGAGGATACTCCTAACTTTGAAAGACGAGTTATCTGTGTGGTAGCTTGTGACTTTGGCAACGTTAGACTATTCGTTTATTTTGTAAACGCACACGTAGAACTGAAGCTGCACTTGCAAAGGTTATTCATGAGCAGGTTCTTTGTCCAGCCAATTCCCTGGAAAAGTTTTACAACAATCAGCTGGCAAAAAGCATGCAGTTGTGTGTTTCAAGAAAACGTGAAACCTCAAGATGTACATGTGGCGAGAGCGCCACCTACACGCTAAAGCGCTGACATTCTTGGCTTGTGATGGCTTGATATAAAAGGAGTTCCCCTGCGTTTAGCTTAAGAAACCGAATACAGGAATGAATGTCAAACATGGATATTCTTGGTCTATGTTGGGAAAAAATCAGGTACCTCCTGATATAAGAAGCATGCAGAACTCCCTGTTTTGCTACGACCTTGTTCCTAATCTCAGTCACAAGGCATGTATGTGGCTAGTAGAGAATTAGACTGGACAAAGCACTAACAAATGTTTTGTGGAGCTCAATTCTGCGCTGTGTGGATGAGGTTACACAGCAGGCCCTGTCTAGATGTGACACCTTTCCTGAAAGAGCTGTCTATCTTATATAGCTCCCAGAGACTAGGGTGACCAGAGGTCCCGATAAAATCTTTGGTCAGGACACAATTAGTCCTGATATTTCACGGTACACTCAGCTAAGTGACTTGCCCAACGTTATAGATGAAGTCAATGGCAGATCTGGGAACTGAACCTACCTTTCTTAAGGTATGTCTAACCTGCAATTAAACACACACAGCGACTCTGGCTCATGGGGCCTGGGCTAAGGTACTGTTTAACTGCAGTGTAGACATTTGGCCTCATATTGGAGCCTGAGCTCTGGGACCATCCCCACTCAGGGCGTCCCAGAACCCTGGCTCTAGCCCAAGTCTCAACATCTATACTGCAATTAAACAGCCCCACAAGCCCGAGTCAGTTGACTTGGGCCAGCCGTGGGTGTTCGATTGTAGTGTAGATGTACCCTTATACTGCAGACTCCTTATGGCAACATGCAGAATACATACTCTGTGCACACGGCTAGAATAGGTATAAGTAGCAGTGTAGATGGTGAGGCACTGCTTAGGCAAGTAAAGACATGCTAACACCCTCTTTCCAGATTGGATTATCTTTCCTCTCCAAAGATGACCCCATGCCACCCTCTATTTCCTCCTGTGAAACCAGGCTAAGTGGTGCAGAAGGGGATTATGTCACTTCCATAGCATGCTTCCTCTTTTCCTCTTGGCCCTCTCTCCCCCTGCCACAGAGGTCTCTCTTTAGGGTAGATATCTTCAGGATGAGCAAGGAGGAGGCTGGGGTGGCAAGTCGAGTTCCCTACCAGACTCCTCTCCTTCAAAATCTGCTGGGGAAGCCACCACAAATGACTACTTCTTCTTCTGTGTTTTGGAATCTCCTCTTGGAATAATAATAATATTATTGTGTTGTATTTCCATATTGCCAACACTTGGGTAGGCACAAGCCATGCATACAAGAAAACATGACTGCCTAAGGAGACATAGGAGAGACAAGCAGTCCCTACACGAATGCTGGTTGCCGCTTGCTGATCCCCTGAGATCTAGGTGGATCCAGAGGCTTGGGGCATTTTCCACTGATGGGAAAAGAAAACCCACCAGGAAACAATATGAGATAACAATTGTGGAGTTTCCACTAAGAACTGGGCACAGATAATTTTCAGGAAGATAAGAAGGACATAAGAATGGACATACTGTGTCAGACCAATGGTCCATCTAGCCCAGTATCCTGTCTTCTGATAGTGGCCAATGCCAGGTGCTTCAGAGGGAATGAACAGAACAGGAATCATCAAATGATCCATCCTCTGCCACCCAAGATAGTATTTTGCGGCTGACATCCCATGAAATGTCAGAGTTTTCAACAGGAATATCTCTGCATAGTACTCCACTTCTACGTTCACTCAACAAAGAGCCCACATTAACTAGGGTCCTTTGGTTTATTTTTATTCCTCTTACCTTCTTTTAGGCAAGCAAAAGAATAAGAATATAGCTGTCCAAAAGTATTTGAAGGGTGTAATCACCAAATAATTCAAAAATTTATTTTGGGTTCTAGAGTGTGCTGTAACTAGTAGTGAGATGAAATTAAATTAAGGAAAGTTTAGTTTGAATATCAGAAAAAGTTTCTCAAAAATGGAATTGTAGAACACTGAATAATGGCAGAAACACTGTCATTTGAGATATTGCAGGAAAGACTGCAGAATTTGGAAAAATTTGCAGGAAAAGTGGGGTGTGTGTTCGTATACATAGGTGTTTATGTACACATAGCATACTCAACCATATACTGTGAACTAAAATGGCCACAAACTTTCTGGAGGAGAGCTGGAGATTTGTTGGCTGGCTATGAATTTCTGGCTAACATAACTTTTGTGTATAAGGCTATTTATTATGTCTGAAATGTGCTGAAACTGATGTATTAAAAAAAATTCTTAGGTAAAAACTCTTCAGCTGCTGAAAATCAGTATGGTTTCATTGAAGTCACCATCAGTGCTTACCAGGTTTATCACCTCTTCATATCAAGTAAGTGAAATTAAATTGGCAGAAATGACAAATGACTTTATCATAGTCTTGGTTTTTTAAACAACTGTATAAAAAGACAATGGTTTCAGTGGCTTGCATGCTCTGAAAGAAAAGTAAAATGTCTAGCACAGGGGTCGGCAACCTTTCAGAAGTGGTGTGCCGAGTCTTCATTTATTCACTCTAATTTAAGTTTCCGCGTGCCGGTAATACATTTTAACATTTTTAGAAGGTCTCTTTCTATAAGTCTATAATATATAACTAAACTAGTGTTGTGTGTAAAGTAAATAAGGTTTTTAAAATGTTTAAGAAGCTTCATTTAAAATTAAATTAAAATGCAGAGCTCTCCTGGACCGGTGGCCAGGACCCGGGCAGTGTGAGTGTCACTGAAAATCAGCTCACATGCCGCCTTCGGCACGTGTGCCATAGGTTGCCTACCCCTGGTCTAGCACATCACAAGCCCTGCCTCAGGAAGTACTGTGCTGTGCTGTCATCTCTTGCATGTTATAGGTTGTGTTCCAATGGACCTGTTTAGAATCTCCACTCTTCATACTGTGCCCTTGCTTTTTGTTCCAGGAGCTTCTAGGAACTTGTCCATTTGAGCTGGTTCATGGGTGTCACTTTCCAGCAGCAGCTAGAGCAGCATTTTCAGCATACTGTATCTCTACAAGAGAAGCACCAGAAAAGATGTCAATGACTTATAAAATACCAGTAAAAATACAAGCAGGCACATGCTAACCTCCCCCAAACCATCCATCCACATAATTAACATGAATTCCAGACATGGGTGTTGAGATAGTGAGGAGGGAGTAGGACCCTGCAGGTGCCCCCATCCCTCTTTCCACACATGTGGTAGTACAAGTGTGTGTGTGTGTGTGTGTGTGTGTGTGTGTGTGTGTGTGTGTGTGTGTGTGTGTGTGTGTGTAGTAGTAGTA